TTTGTATTTGGAATGCCCAAAGCAAGCTTGGGAACCTATATAAAATGCTTAAAGCATAAATGAATTCGATTATTAGCCATTGTAATACCCAGGAATGGCCAGGTAGGTAAGGTCCTATGTAACCAAACTGCTTACAAGTATCTGGTAACACTCAGGGATATTTTAGTTTTCCTTTTTCTTGAGATTTATTTATTTATGCACTCAAGAACTGGGGTGTAAGCCAGAGGTGCAGGGGGGGAGAGGATTCACCAGAGAGAGTGGGGAGCAGAACAGGCAGACTGACTGAAATACACTGCTGAGGGGAGCAGCGGGTGAGACAGGAGAGGTCTGCTGCGCCATGTGGGTTTCTCCCTGGCTGGCTGGGGATCGAACTTGTGCTGCGGTGGCTGGTGATAGGTTGATAGAGATGTCTTTAACCCCTGTGCCACCAGGGAGGTCCTCTTTTAGTTTTTCTAATGTGGGGCCATTGGTTTACAATAACCGTGTTTCAGGAGTACAGCTTCACACCTCCATGTGTGTCTATACCTCGCCGCACCCACCAGCAAAGTGCTAGTGTTGCTCACACTATCTACCCCTTATACCCTTCTCTTCTACCCCTCTGCCCCTTCCCTTCTGGTCACCACCTTTTTCTCAGAGTCTAAGAGCTATTCTTGTTGTGTTTTGTTAGGTTGTTTGCTATGTTTGTTTGTTTATATAAGTGAAGCCATCCAGTTTCTGATTCATTTTGCTTAGCATAATCCCTCAGTTCCATCCTGTTGCACAAGGCAAGGTTACAGCTTTCTTAATAGCCGAGTAGTATTGCATTGAGTATGTGTGCCACAGCCTCCTGATCTGTTCCTCTGTTGATGGGCATTTAGGGTGTTTCCAGATCTTGGCTCTTGCAAACAGTGCTGCTATGAATACAAGGGTGCAGATATCTTTTTGAATTAGTTTTTCATTTCTAGGAGGTAAATTCCTAGGAGTGGAATTGCGGGTATATCTATTTTCAAGTTTTAAAGGACTCTCCATACTGTCTCCCATAGACACTCAGCCCTACTTTAATAAGAACAATACACTCCATTGAGGCAAAATGACCTTGGAAGGCCATTTTGGACTTTACCATGGAAGTCCAAAAATTCTGAAATACACATATGCCAAAGATATCTTGGTTTTGAAGAATGCTTTATTGGTTTTATTTGATAAGTTTTGGTACTCCTTACTCCAAATAAATGTTTTCCTTAGACATATTCAGCTTTTTGTGTTATCTTCAGGTGCTTTCCATTATCACTGTGTGTTGGCTAGGTTATGGAGAAGGAACCTTTCATTGCCCTCTCTGTCCTCATTTGTAAATATCATCTTCCCACTGATATGTTTGCATTGTCAGGATGCCCATAGCTGTGTGTGAAGAAAACAAATTGTGGGGAGAAAACACCTTTTCCCAGAAGATCTTGCTCCCATTTTGCAGAGAAAAGACATGCCATGCGCTAGAACTTGCAGCCTTCCAGCGTCTGATCAGCCTTCCAGAGATTCTTTTGCATTTTATCCTTCTTGATAACCCTGTCTTGGGTCTAAGGTGAATCCGCCCATGTTTTCTGGATTCCATCCCCTTTGCCTTCTCATGGAACATTCATGTCCTTTTGTCCCTGTTCCTTGTTTCCAGCCTCTTCCTCTTCCCTGCATCCTGTCTGTACTTTTCATTAGGAAAAAAAAAAAAAAGACTATTATTTAAGAGCAGGTTTAGGTTCACAGCAGTGTCTCCTTCATTATCTAGCTCACATACCACAATAAAAATACCTTTTTATTTTTTTTTAATCAAAGTTCAACCTACATTGAAATATCATAATCACCTAAAGTCTATAATTTACCCTAGGATTCACTCTCATTGTTGTACATTCTGTGAGTTTGGACAAAAGTATAATGACCTATATCCATCATTTTAATGTCATACTGTCATTGTTTTAAAGTCCTCTGTGCTGTCTGTGCATCTCTCCCTGCCCCAACAACCACTGAGCTTTTCATCGTCTCCATGCTTTTGCCTTTTCCAGAATGTCATCTACTTGGAACCTTGCAGTTGCCCTTCCAGACTGGCTTCTTTCATTTAGCAACATGCACTTAAGGTTCCGCCATGTCTTTTCATGGGCTAATAACTTACTCTTTTTATTTTTTTATTATTTTTTAAAAATAAATTTTATTTTTATATTCCCCATACAATTGCAACCCCCTTATTTTGACCCCAATCCCTCCCCTCCCCGCCCCCCACCCTCCATAGAGTGTCTCTGGTTCATAGTTTTTTGTTGATTTTGATTTTCACTTTCTTATTAACTTACTCTTTTTGGCACTGAATAATATTCCCTTGCCCGCTGGACCATAGTTTATCCAGTCACCTACCGAAGGGCATCTTGGTTGCTTCCTGGATCTGGCAGTTATGAGTAATGTTGCTGTAAACATCCACGTGCAGGTTTTTGTGCGGACATGTCTCTGACTCCTTTGGGCAAATAACAAAGAGCACGATTGCTGGGTTGCATGTTAAGAGTGTTATTAGTTCGGTAAGAAACTGCCAAACTGCCTTCCTCGGTGAGTGTGGTGTCTGCACTCTCCCTGCTGCTCCGCTTCCTCGCCAGCAGGTGGTGGTGTCAGCGTTGTGGATTTTGGCCATTCTGCTCGGCACCGATTTGCATTTCCTGGATGACATAAGACGCGGGACATCTTTTCCAAAGCTTATTTGCCATCCCATTGGCTTCCTTGGTGAGGTGTCTCTTAAGATCTTTGGCCCATTTTGGAATCAAGTTATTTTCTTGTTGTTGACTTTCTATTGACACATGAACACACAGTCAAATCTTTCATATGGTCCCCAGCCACCACCACAGCAGCAGTGAGAACCGTGTACATGGGTCAATCCCAAACCCTCAGGCCTCTCCCCACCCCATTAACCTGACATCCTAACTTGGCTCTCTCTCACGGACAAACTCCTCGACCGAGTTGTGCAGTCTTGATGTCGCCACTTCCCATGAGCTCTTCCTTCCCTGAGGTCTGGCCCATGAAGTCTGGATATTCATCGGGTTTCCCCTGACCCCTTTCTTCACCTCCCCACATAAAATTAATCACCTGGTTCCGTTGATCTGGTCACTGAATCTGAAACCAATCCACTTACTTCTTTCCATCCTGTTGGCCCCTTCTAAGTTTGGGAAAATGATTCATTCTCATTGTATGTAAAGGTGATAGGTGGACTGGTGTATGTTGCTGCAATGTGAGGTCATAAAGACTTAGGGGTGCTCATGATTGCACAGGCCAAAGGTCTAGTCTCCAGAAGTTTCCTGGGTTTTCGGTTTGAAATTGTGACTTCTGCAATTCTCTTGGTTCCCTTCTACTTCTGGCATTTTTCTCAGACTTCTTAGAAACAGCTCTGTTCACCTGAAGTTCTGAGCTCATGACTCATTTAGCTCTGAGGTGGGGTCCTCAGAGCCCTGCCAAGCTGTTAGAGTTGGAACAGATCATAGTGTCTCGTGACAGTTTGTTTACTTATAAAACAAAGGCTTTCTCTAGACCAGTGGATCCGTACCCTGCTGCACACTGCAGTCATCTGGGAAGATTTTAAAACTCCTGTTGCCCAGGCCGTACCCCAGACCAGTGACATCATCATCTCGATGTCCAGACTTCAGGATTCTCCCCAGGAATCCGAGTGTGCAGACAAGGTCGAAACATAGCAACTCAAAGATTTTAAAGGACCTTTGCTCTTCTATCATTTCATGTTTTTTCATGCCCCAATCCTGAGTTGAAATTTCTCTTCTTTTAATGTTTTTACGAAGTTGGGAAGAAATAGCTGTGAATTCCCCCTACCCCCACCCCCTTCCATCTGCTGTTTGTTCTTATTTACATACGATGGAACCCAGCCCACTGATTTACAGCTCTGGTTCCCTTACAACTGTTATTGAACTGAAAACATAGCTGAAAACTTATTAAACAGAAAAAAAATTATTTTGAGCTTTGTGCTGGCAATTCATTATAGAACGAAGGAGACATCTAAACTTCATTCCTTCTAGAGTTAATGCTAAAAATGGATTCACAACCCTGTAATCTCAAATGGAAATTTTAAGTTTTACTGCAAAATACAGTACGTGTTCTTTATTGAGTGTCCCGTGAAGAAAACCAAAGCGTCTGTATAGGAGGATGAATTTTTGAGGGATTTCCACCCATAAACAGGCAGAGTCTCCCCAGATGGCTCTGCATGTGGCATTGAAGTTAAGTGATAGCATCTCTTTCCCCCCAAATCTTCTCTGCTGACCCACAAATGCTGGAGGAAAAGACAGGATAGACGAGCATCATCAGAGGGCTGTGTAACTGCTACAATGCTTGGGAACATGTTTCTCAGTGGACACTCCCTTTTAGAGCTGCCCTCTTAGATTTGAAGTAACATGAGGCTTTTCTGAGCTGCAAGGAAGTAGAGGGGAGAGTAGGCAGATGACAGAGAACAGCCAAGCGTTTGGTTTAACTGCTGGCCCAAAATTTGGGAAGAAGTGGGGTCCTGACCTAGGTCTGATTTACACTGGGGAAGTGTCCAGTGGGGGACTGTCTCTCCCTGCCTGTTCTCTGGGTACATTTTTTCTTTTCTGCTGCATCACTTGTCTGAAACACAGCCCATACCTGTGCTTAGCTCTCTCAAATCCTTATTAAACGACTGAGATTGGTTGCTACCTTGATAAGAATGGGCTACCTTTATAGCTAGGACAGGTACATTATTAGTCATAACCTTTCATAGGATAAGGGGACATTCCTTATCCCATAAGTCTTACAACTGGGTCACCCCAGTTGTTCTCATGGAAGGAAATGGTTGGTTATCTTCTAGCAATGGGAAAAAGTCCTTTTCTTGGGAGAAGATGCCAGAACACGGGGTTGAGCTGAAAGGAACCTCCTTCTCACCATGTTTAACACTGAACTATTTCTCATGCAAGCCAGTTTGGGCCCAGAAAACCTCACCTGAAGTTTCTTGATTTTGACCTGCCCCTTTGGGTATTTTCTTATAGATGGAGGAATTGATTGAGGGTGTTCGCTGGGCCTTTATCGACATGCTGGAGAAAGAAAATGAATGGATGGATGCAAGGACAAAAAGTAAAGCTAAAGAAAAGGTAAGGATTCCTTTTGATGGAAAAAAAACACGACTTGGTTTAATGGATGTTCATTTTTGATATTGACTAGTATAGTTGATTTTTGTATGGATTGAGCTGTTGACTCCAAAAGGCCCCAGATTTCAATGTCTGTTTTGAGGTGAATATATAGATTTCATCTCCAGGAGGTAATTGAAAATAAGATCTCACTCTTTCCTTTGCTAAGTGCATTTTAAAACACCTAGCAATTCAGACTTTCTTCTTTCTAATTGCTGTCTGTGAGAGTCACGTGGCTTGGTGCCCAGCAAATGTTTACCATCAACCGTCACTGGCCATGGCAGAATGCAGAGCAGTGGGGAGCCGCGGGGAGCAGCTGGCAGAAGAGCCCTCAAGGTGCAAAAAAGAAAAACCCATATTGGACCTGTGTCCTTCTGCTCTGTGCATGATGTATGCAGACGTCCTCGGCCAAATCGTTTCCTGTTACCAAGCACATCTACCTCCTCACCCATTGTTTGGCCCAGTGAGCCTAATAGCATGCTTCTAAGCAGCAGACCACTGGGTAGGACACAATGTTTCCCAGTAGAAGCGGACACTCGCCAGGCCTGGGGAGATGTCCTAGTGCCGTGTGACCAGATGAGGGAGCAGGGAGAAAAGTACTAGCAGCCATACTGTTTAAAGACAAGAGCGGGCGCTGTGGCGAACTGTGATATTCTGAGGGTGCTGGAGCTCCAGTGTGTAGGGAGCCCCTGTTGTGTTGTGAGGGGAGGCGGCTGTTGGGCGGGGGGGGGGGGCTTCTGAAATTGGGAGCATTTCTTCTTTACAGAGGTTTTGGGTCAGCTTTCCCAACCACAGCGGATCCCTGGCGTGCCTGGACACATTCTAGCTCTGCTTCAGTGGGCAGCGGGTGTGGGCCGAGCCTTTGTGATTCACCCGGTCTCCCTGGAGGTCCTCAGCACTCAGCAGGCCCAGGGACACTGAGTCAGGCCGAGCGCAGATATTTTGGCCTTCTGGTCAGGGAGAGAGGGAGAGGTGTTCCAGGGTGCTGCTCTGCAAGTGTCTGAGCCCCTGGGATGAACGACACGGAGAGCGAGCCCTCGTGTAATCCGTGGGCTCTGGGCAATGGTGACGTGTCAGTGTGGGTCCATTGACTGGAACAAATGTCCCACTCTGGAGGAGGGGGGCGCTGTTGATGTGGGGGAAGCAGTGTCAGGGGCCGGGCCACGGGGCCTGTGGGAACCCTCTGTGCACTCTGTTCAATTTTACTGTGAACCTAAAACTGCTCTAAAAAAATAAAGTTATTAAAAAAAGGAAAGAGGACAGCATTCTGGGGGTGCTTAGCCTCACTGAAATGAGAATGTGCAGAGGCTTAGCAAGGATATTTTCTAGAGCTTTAGTACTCCTGAGGTGGGTACACACTGCCATAGATATTTTTGTCAATAGACATGAGAAGTCTGTTCAGTGTTTATTGTGAAGAAAGAACTTGGTTGGGGGTGTGGGGGTGTTGCAGGAAGACAAAGGGTCGGTGCGCTGCTTCTCTCCTCGCGAATCTGTCAGAGCTGTCGTAAGGCCTGTAAGGTGCGAGCTGATGAAGGCAGGAGCACGGGCTGTGATGAGAGGCTCTCCAGATGGTCGAGAAAACATTCTCGGCACCAGCATATTGTTGTTTGTTGGAAGCTGACTTATTTGCCCGGCTAACATGTGATATCTGGAGCAGAATGGGTCTTGCCCTGGGCAATTGGGCGCTCAGTGCCTGAGGGGCTCTTGTGCCTAGCCTGACACCCCCCGTGGACGAAGGTTATAGAGGGAGGGGTGCAGTGGTGAGGGCTATGCACATGCTATGAGTGGACAGGTACCAGGAGAATGTTCTGGAAACTGACTTCAAGTTCTTTGGGCAGTATGGGTGGTGCCTGCCTCGGGGAGATCTTCTGAGTGGCCTAAGCGTGAGTGCCTTGCAGTAGGACTTTTGAGGCAAGTGGCCCAGAGCTCCTTCTTGAAGGAGGATTATTCTCAGTCTTTCTAATATCAGACATATTCCTGTCTGCCCCTGAGTTGCTCTCCAGTCTTATGTTTTATTTCAATGAGCGCCGTCCCTTTTTCTTCTCAAAATATTCTTTGAACTCTCTGCTTTCTTTGAGTCGAGTTCAACCTGCTGGGAACTCAACTCGTTCCTTCACAGCTGCAACTATCAAAGGCACTTATTCTACTGGATCTCACCAGGTTCTCTGAGTCTTATCCTGCATTTCAGAGTTCACAGCAGTTCCTTTAACCAGAGGCAAGAAACAGGAATGATGTTCAGGAGTTTCCAGGCACCCTCCAAAGCAGGGCCGGCCCTGGACCCCAGAAGATGCAGATTTTCTTCTTGCCCAATTAGATGGACCTGCAGTTCTGCAAGTGACCTCTGGGTGGAGCTCGCAGTACTCACAAAGACGGTGCGTAGGGCGCTGAGGACTTCTGCAGCTTTCTGCTCTGGGGTTGTTTTTGAAAAATTATTTTTTTTTCTTGTCCTTTTTCTCTGCTGTCCTCAATTTGATTGCCTTTTAATAGTCAGCAAGAGAGGCGAGGCCCTGCCTAATAATTCCCTGAATCTTAGATGGAAGCCTCTGCCGATCTTAGGGCTTTGTCTATGTGATACTGAGTAGCCCCTGCTTAAGACAGGATTTGCCTGCGTTCGGAGTGGAGGTGAATAATTCGCCTGCTCTTCCTGGTGTGACTTGGCACTGTTCTTTGGGCATGTGTTGTACGCAGTATATCACCCAGGCGGAAGATTTCTCATCAATAATAGTGCCCACACTGGGCCAATGCTGAGTCACTTGGCAACCCATTGGGGAAGCTGGAAAAAATGTTCCGATGTGTCAGGGGGAGAGGCTTTTCTTTCCCTCACCATGAAGCTCTGGACTGCAGCAAATTACAGCATCTCCTAAGGAGTGTTGACCTCAGCATTCCCTGATGACCCGCCCCTGGGAGGGAGACGCAGACACCTGCCGCAGTCTGAGGCCTCACACCTTAACTTTGGCGGCAGTGATGATCCCGCTCTCAAAATGGAAGCATGGGATGCGGCTTTGCCGTGCTCTTTGCTAGGGGCGATCACTGTAAAAGATAAACGAGGATGCTTTTGCTTCTGTGAAGGGGAGATTTGTTATCACCGCCTCCCTGCCTTTTCCCTCTGATCTCTTAAGAGGTCATGAGTGGTTTTCTGTTGTGAAACCAACAGTGGAGGTTTCAAGTGGAAATTTAGAATGGTGAAACAAGCACCTGTTTTTGTTTAGGATTCGGTGTTCCCTGCAAGCATGTGCTCTTATTGTAAACAAGCAAAGGACAGAAGTCCTGTTGTTTTCCCAGTTACCATAGCTGTTGAATGACTGTAAGGTGCTACAAATGATCTTGGGGGGCATGTCTTCTGGGAGATTTGCCTTTTCCAGAACACAGGAGGAGGCTCTCAAGGTCACAACATGATGACTCCGAGGCCGGACAGGGAGAAACGCAGCACTGCCTCTGGCTGCCCTGGTCAGGGGAGCAGGGCTTCGGCCGGCGAGCTGAGCTCTGTGCGGGATCAGGAGAAGCAGCTTCCTAACCTCAGTTGATTCTCAGTTGGATTCGATCTTATACCTCAACCCGGATCCTTTCTGAAGTGTTTGTGCTCTCTGCCCCTGGGTCATACGCTTGTAGACCACCCCCCAGAGAAAAAGACTTGGTGGGACTTGTAGGGAGATAGCAGGAAAGGTGCTGTGAGTGCCCTTGACCCGTGGCAGGTGCAGAGGGCTCCAGGGAGGTCTACCGTGTGGTCCCATCTCCGTGGCATGTAACGCCCAGGCACAGGCTTCGGGCGAAGCGGAAGGAGTTTTCTCAGAGGGCCAAACCACAGTGAAGCTCCCCTCTTGGCCTTTGTCTCTGCTTGGCAGGAAAGATAACCTTGCCTCCTACCTTTTTAAGTTCTTGGCTGGGGCCCTGGTAACAAAAGATAGACAAGTAAGAGGAAAACAAACAGAAGTTTATTAACAGCTCGTGCTCGTGCATACGTGAAGAAACTCAGAGAAATGAGTAACTCAGAGAGGAGGCTTTGAACGCCAGCTTATACGGTATCTTCAACAGAGAACAATGAGTTTGTAGAGAAATGACAAAACAAAGGAAGGTGGTTTTTAGATTTTCAAGGGTGGCTGATTGTAAGGAGGTAAATATTGGGGAAACTAACGGTCGAGGCAGGCTAAGTCAGCAGAGTTTAGTGTGTAGATTCCTCTGGTGCTGTCTCAAGGCTGACGGGGTCAGAAGTTGTCTCCAGTGATTCACTTTTGTCCTTTCTGGTAGAGAGGGGACGAGGGACAGCTCTGAAAATTGTCCCTTCTCTCCTCTCACCAGTCATCCTGGCCAAAGCCTCCCCTGCCCCACAGGACGGCAGTCTGGAAGGAGCCACTGAAACATCTGGCCAGCCTCCCTCATGCTGCAAGTGCTCTTCCCAGTACTTTAGCTATATTAATTCCTCTGAACAAATCTCCGAGGTAGCTACTAATCTCCCCAATTTATAGAGGTGAAAACTCTGGGTAAGAGAAGTCAAATAATTCCCTAGGGCAATACAGCTAATAAAGGGGAGAGCTTGGCTCTGAGTCTAGGGGGGCCTTTCTCCAGCATCTGTTCTTTTAACTTCTGTACTGCACTTCCCTCAGGCTCGTGAGGGATGGGGGAATCATGTGTGAAGGCCACGGTGTTGGACTGGATGGGTGTGTGAGAGGTGGAGAGCCATGGAGCCAGGGAGTGCCAGCTAGCTCTAGATGGCAGCACATGTCAACCAGGGATGGAGGGAGGTTGGGAGGGGTGAGAGCAGGGATCCCGAAAGTCCCTCTGTGTCCCTGGGTGAGCCCTGGAGTGGGTGCAAGAACGAGAGTGACTGCATTCTTGAGCAGCTGTGCAAATGCACTAGAATCTGCACCAAGGTGGGCAGGGACAGCGTGACAAAAGCCCTTCCGTTTCTTTTCTTCTCTTCTGCAAATTTTTAAAAAGAATTATTTATTTATGCAAGCGCTGGACTA